AATTTCCACATGATGAATTATAAAGATAAATATACAAAGGTATTTCTTGTCCATTATAAAATAATTAACGTTTACAACTCTGATCTTAAAAAGAGTTGAATTCATGGTAACTTAGCAACACTTCAGTGGAGTCAATTTTACAACATATCTTACGGAAGTCTGAATCGGACAATAGGATTCCAATTAAACTGTTAATTGTGTCATTTAATACTTGGCATGTAGTGCGGAAGCCTGACACAGAGAGAATAAAGTAGATATAGCGTTAATGATACAATTCAGCTGATTCTTTTCTAAATATATGACAATAATTTCGTGACATACATATCAGTATTTTTTAAATAACTAGGTATTATAATTGAGGATCAATAAATTTTTTTAAAAAAACTTCCAACAGAATTTAGCATTACATGTGCATTTTATGCTGAAATAAGGTGATTGCCTAACCATCTAGAAGTTTCCAGAACACTCAGAATGAAATCCAAAGGCCTTATCATGGCCTACTAGGCCCTACACAGTCCAGCCACTAGAGTCGTACAGACCCTATCACGTATTCTTCTCTTTGCTCACTGCCTTCCTACCACATTAGCCTCCTGACTGCTCTTTGAACACAGCAAACAGTTCTGTCTCAAGCTCTTTCATTTGCTCTCCTTTCTGCCAGGAAAATTCTTCACCTGTGTTCATTTTCTCACTTCAATCCAGTTTCTGCTCAGATATCACCTCCTCAGAAAGAATTTTCTAGATACCCCAACTTAAAATGCCTGCCCTCATCACTCTCCAGTCTCTGGCCCTGATTTATAGGATCTCTTACTCTAACTTTATATTTTTTATCTACTTGTATATTTACTGACTGTCTCGCCTAATAGAATGTGATCCTTTTTGAAACCAAATTTTGTCTGTCTTGTCTGAACCAAGACCCTGCTACAGAGTAGGAACACAATAAATATCTGCTGAATAAATAAATGTGAATTTTCTTGGAAAAGTTGAATTTGCATTTCTAAAATGATACCAGAAAACTATTTGTTATGAACATTCTCCTTAGTTGTTCACATGATTTCAGGGTTATTGTATTTTAACAGAAGGCCAAGGTGGGTGGATCACCTGAGGTCGGGAGTTCGACACCCACCTGACCAACATGGAGAAACCCTGTCTGTACTAAAAATACAAAATTAGCCAGTCGTGGTGGCGCATGTTTTTAATCCCAGCTACTCGGGAGGCTGAGGCAGGAGAATCGCTTGAACCCAAGAGGCGGAGGTGGCAGTGAGCCGAGATCATGCCATTGCACTCCAGCCTGGGCAACAAGAGCGAGACTCCATCTCCAAAACAAAAAAAGAGAAAGAGAAATACAAAGACCTAAAATTCAAACTTAGAAATGTATAAAGAAAGACTCATTCTCTATCTGTGATATTCATTCCTGAAAAGATTTATTAACATTCACCTGACTCGGTATTGTTTTTCTGTATTATTATATAATGAATGACATCTTTTAAAATAAATATTTTTATTATGCAGTTAATATATGCTCACATTAGAAAATGTGGTAAATACAGGCCAGGCATGGGGGCTTGCACCTGTAATCCCAGCTATTTGGGAGGCTGAGGCAGGAGGATCTGTTGAGTCCAGGAATTCGAGACCAACCTGGGCCACACAGTAAGACCCCATCTTTAACAAAATAAAATAATAAGCTGGGCATGGTAGCAAGTGCCTATGGGAGGTGAGGAGCATAAGATCACTGGAACCCAGGAGTTCCATGCTGCAGTGAATCACTATAATGGCATCACTGCACCCCAGCCTGGACAATACAGCAAGACCCCCATCTCTAAAAAAAAAAAAAATTAATTTTTTAAAAAGATAATCTAGGAAATACAAAAACTTCTACCCAGAAATTGCCACTGGTTAAATGTTTTCCTTTTGGGTTAAATAAGATTGGGATCCAGTTGTTTCCCGTGAACTATTTAACTGTATTTTTCTCTTAACATTTTTTATTTGCAATTGTATCTTAAGCATTTCTTGCCATTAAATATCTTCAGAAACATAATGTTTAATGTCCTCATACTATTTCATTATGTTTATGCCTTATACATTATTTAGACATTCCCTTATTCTTGAACATTAAGATGGGTTTTGGTGTTTTGATACAGTTTTTAAAATGCTATCATGATTATCTTCATATACAATCATACATATATCTTTGGATAAGTTCAAGTAAAAGGATATAAACATTTAAAGTAACTAATACTACTTTAATGAAATGTGTGATCTCAATGCTAATAAAGTATTAGATATTCCAGTTTACTTGGGGGTAGGAATATTTTGACGTATGGAGTGTTTTTATGTAAATGAGCTCATATATCTTGCTTCAACTTAACCATTATATTATAAACATCTTTCCATGTTACTACTTATATGTCTACTTCATTTTTAACTACTTATATGCATACAATTTTATATCTAAATGAGCCATAACTTGTTTAATCAGCATCCTACTAGATTATCTTTTTAATGATATTTACTTTCTCCTCCTAGTTTCTCACTAGTACAAATATTGTGCTGCAGTTGTAACTATCTTTGGTTATTTGTGTAAATTTCTAGAATTCGATTTCTGGGTCAAAGGTTTTGACATTTTAAATTTTGACAAATACTGCCAAATTTCCCTCTACAAAAGTTTTATGAATTTATATTCATAGAGACAGTAAAGGAGAGTTTTTCCAAACCAACTATAATATTGGGTCTTTTAACCTCTGACAGCTTTATAGAGTATATAAGGTATCTTACTTTAATTTTCATTTCTTTAATTCCAAATAAAATGAGTCCTTTTTTTATGTTTGTTAGCCATTTGTCTTATGCTTTAAATTTTTAAAATTTGAAAATTTTAGATACTTGCTATCTTTCTTCAGCAAGATAAATGCAATTAGGAGCAAATATTCTGTTCATGCTTTACTTTAAAAATCATTTATTTCAAGTCTTTGTTAGTATGGGTAAAAATGTTACATAACATTTTATTTTTATTTTTGTGTTGTTTTTGCTTTTTTTTAGTAAGTGATTCACTGCTTTAAAATTTTTTTCCATAGGAATATAAACATTTATTTTCACATAGCTCTTATATTATGATCTTATGAATTATTTTTACAAATTGGTAATATATCACTGAATTTTAGAAAAGTCATGGATAGAGTTATATATAGAACTTTGTCATATATTTTGGCATGCAAATGAAAGTATTCATTTATTTTTAATAATTATTTATAGAGTTGTAAACTTAAGGAATTCATTAAGGTAATCAATTACAAGATATTATTCACTAGACCTACTATTTATGATAATGAATATATTATTAACACTAATGTAGCTAACAGTATAGTTACATGGGTAGTTTTCTTAAGATTTCACATACATTATTTCATTTGACTCTTGGGCTAACCTTTGAACCTTACAAAAAATTACGTGATCACAATTGAAATCACACAGTGGTAACCTGGGTCTGTGTAACTTCAAACCCACACTTATTTTTCTTATTATAATTTAGTAAATAGATCTACAGAATTGAGAGGCCCTCTGCCATCATCATATAATAATTGCTATTCTTGCCACCATAAATAAATGAGAATGAGAAGGTCAGCTTCTCTTTTTCTGTGTATTATAATCACAATCACTTATATTTGAATAGCATTCTAGTTATAAGTTGATTTCACATCCTTTAACTTATTTTATCCTTGAAATAGCATGTAAGTTAGATAAGACTAAAGGCAGTGTTTTGTTTTCATGCAAGAGGAAAAACATCTCAGGGAAATAAATGATCTTTTTGAGGTCAACAGTCAATGAAGAGACAGAATCAGAATTCAAGGCTTCTGTGTTTCAGATGGACAATGATTTGTCACTTGCCAAGTTGAAAGCATACAATTTGATGTATTAGTAGCCTCTCTTTAAACAAGGTTGAAAAATGAAACAGAAAACAAAAGTACAGTCTTTGTTTTTCCATTTGCCTCATGTGTTATAATTCTTTACTGTAAAACAAGGCATAGGTGAGATTTTACCTCTTTCTCCTGAGAATTCAATGGTGGTTTTAGTGTTCGTATGCCAAAAGTCTTTAGAAAAAGGCCAATAAATGAAAGTGGTAAGAAACACACACATACACACATACACACACTCTCACACACACATCACTCTGATTCTAAATTTTGACTATTTTAAGGTTTGAAGTGTGTGAACAAGCTTAATGATTGGCATGTTGAAGCCAAGATTTTATTTTGGACTCATTTCCATTTTAAATATAATAGAATTTATTATTTTTTTATTAATAATATTGCTTATATTTTCATATTATATACATTAAATGCATTTTCAAAAATAATGGATTTCTTAATTGATTTTATTGTGCTTATTTCTAATGTAAATATGCCATAATTTAAGTGGAAATCATAAGAAACTGGAAGCACTTAATACGTTTATTTTCCAAGAAAACTTGCTGGAATCCTTGTACATACTTGCCTGTAGTCTACATTGCCACATCTAGGAATATTGCTTAGTATATTTTGTAAGCTTTGTCTGGCAGAAATACATATTTTTCCTAAAGCATACCTCAGAGGTCATTATCACTGAGAGGGCACAGACTGCCAACCTTCATCGGTAAGATTTTTACTTCGAGTTGCTTTTTCTTAGGGTAGTGATGAGTGCTGAATCTTTCAGAAATATTTTTTGTTGAATTCTGATTTATTTGTGAGTTTGGTAGAAGCAGCAGACTTGCCTATGATAGTAAAGTGACTTTTTCCACTAAGACTATCTATCTCTAATAAGGATCAAGTCTCGGTGAGGATTACCTCTTTATCATTCTATTTAAATGAGTTGAGGCAACTGCTTTCAATAATGAAATGATTTCATGGCAGGTTTTATACTATACCAACCATATAGACTCCCAGCTTGACTTTTTTTAAGAGGAAAAATAGGTAGAGTGCTAATTTTTGTCATTAATATTAGCTGCATATATGTCTTTTCTCTTGGAACAGCTCAATGGTTATTCGGGACTTAACCTTACGCAGTGCTGCTAGCTTTGGCTCCTTCCACCTGATCCGTCTACTCTACGACGAATATATGTTTTACTTAGTAGAACATCGTGTTGCTCAGGCAACAGGAGAGACTCCCATAGCAGTCATGGGCGAGGTAAGAGAGACTGAAAGAGCTGTGACCCATTGGGTTATTAAAAATAAACCAGAATTATACTTCAGTCTAAATATATTAATTACTGATTAAAACTATGGTTCCTAACCAAGTCAGCCTCAGACTCAGGAGGGGCTGTAGAGTTATTGCAAGAGTTCCTTAAATTCCTCTGTTCTTATGTGCTTAATCAAAAGATTCTAAAATTGTAGATTATATCGTGAAAGTTCATGGAATGTCTCTCTATATTATACAGGTGCCTATTTAAAAGAAAAACTTGAGAACCACTGGAATATGAAAAATATTTTGAGTGGGAAAAAGATTGATGCTCCTGATAAAGCAAAGGGCTAGGAATACAATGGAAAAGGTTAAATATGTATTTTGTAGACTCTTTTCCCCAGTCCCCAGGAACAAGTAAATGATTCTGTTTTAGAAGGATAAAAATGGTAATGATGATAACTAACATTTTTTGGACACTTAATATGTGCCAGGCACAGTTCTATGTTTTTTACATGAAATAAAGCACTCAATGCAAGTCTTTGAGATAGGTTCTACTTTATTCTGTTTTACAATAAGCATCCAAGGTTTATGCAGAAAGCTAAGACACAGAAAGGTTAAATGATTACTCAGCTAAAAAATGGTAGAAATTTTTTTCAAACACAGTCTGATTTTCAAACCCATGCTTCTAACCACTAGTGATGTGAGGGGGAAAATTCTCTTCTTCAGAATTTCTGAATAGTAATCAAAATGGCTTATCAAAAAGCTAAAACTCTGAATATAAACAAGGGCTGGTTAATATAATAAGGAATAGATGCAAATGCTCAAATGGTTCAGCACTGGCTTATTTTGTTACATTGAATGCAGGAGGCAGGGGTAGTTTATACCTTGTTGAATTATACCAGATTAGAAAATGTGACAAATTTCCCAAGGCTGTAAAAAAGACATGTTCACTTTTAAGCTATGTGTATGTGCTTATATAAATAAAAAAGAGTGAAAATAGATATTATTCAATGCTTTTCCTAGTTTAATATAATAAGGCATAAATAAAAATACATTAAAATACGTCAAGGACCTCCCTAATATTCTAGTATAAATAAAATGCATGTCAAACTTGCCTAGAAGGTCATTTGAAATATTCATCTTTTCCACTTCTTTAAAACCCCTTGCTGTATACCAGTCTAAATGTCTTTGTATGATGTTCCCTGATGATGGTTAAGCTTTAATGATGCCAAATATATGTGAGATTAAGCAGGAATCACTGTGGCTTTTCATTGTAAGCAGGACCTCATGTGACCAAAGCAATCTGGACTTTTCTTATATTTGACTTCCCCTCATTGCCTCTTTCTTTAGTTGTTTTGTAGATGCCTTGTTGGAAAATGCCCAGTTAGCACGTGGACTCAGTACCCTAAAATTTCTTAACTCAGGGTTCAAGACTTCAGAAATGAACCTTGTCTTTTAGTATACTTAACACATTTGCCATCTACCTCATACACTCCAGGACTTCTTTAACAGGATAAACAGGATAATGATGGCAGGGATTCTCATTAACACCATGTGGCTAATCCTGATGCATGGCCTTTGCTTTCCTTGTATCTCTAGGGAACAAAGGCAGTGGACATGAGCCAGTCACACAGTGTGAAGGCTTAGCAACCTCCTGGTATGCTTGCAGAGGTGGCACCAGAATTAAAATGGGCTACATAATCTGTAGTGCCAACTAACCATCCTAATAGGTATCCTTTTTTTTTTTTTATTACTACATGTAAACGATCTAAATGAACATGACAGATTTTACATGAGGCAAAGATATATACATAAAATCTAAATTTAAAAAAAAAAAAAACACGGTCAAAGATCTAATTCCTGATTTCTTTGTTTACTCAGTTTATAGGAAAGCCCTTTGACCTGCCTATGCTCATCCATTATTTACCCCAAAAGGCAAATTCAGACTAACTTTATAGGTTGGTCTCCCCATACAGCATTGATGCCTCATACACCTGTTTGCTCTCATAGATCTAGTGGCCATGGTCGTACTATCATATCTAAAATTTCTTGATTTGGGAAAAAGGAGAAGGAAATTCAAAAAATTAAAAAGTCTGTTTTCTCATGTTCTCCTCACGTTATCCTAAGTCTACCTTCTCTTGGTCCCTTGGGTGACTTCCTTTTCCAATCACCAACTCCAGATGTGCCTGTGTACATAGTGGGAGTAACACATCAGGCCAAAATCCATTGAAATCCATAAAAATCACCATCACTCCCAGTCACAGCAAGTGGTTTGGAATAATGATTAATAATAGCAACCACAAAGACAATAACAATTGTCACTATTTATTGAGAGCATATCATATATTTAACGAAATTAATAATCTTGCTCTATCTACTAATGGCTCTCTCAGTAAATGGTGCCACAATCCTCCCAGTTGATTATACCAGACACATCAGCATTCCCTTTTTATGTCCTTCTATCTTGACTCCCATCTCCAACCAATTACCAAGTTTTCTGTTTCTGAAATCCCTCAGAGTGCAGTCAGTATCGTCTTATGAAAATGCAAAGCTGACTGTGTCATCCCCCGCTTGAAACCCTTCAGTGGCTTTCCCTTGTGTTACGAACATGAGCTTTTGCATGATCTGGTCCTGCCCCTCTGATCAACGTCAGCCTCCCACTTCCTACTCTTTCTGTTGCAATCACAGTGGCCTTTTCTCTGTTTTCATTCACCAAGCTTTTCTCATCCTTGGACTGCTGCATAAATGGTTCTTTCTACCTAGAAGCCTCTGCCCATCTCCTCGCACCCATTCTAACTCCTACTTCATGTTGTAAAAATCAGTTTCTCAGGGAGACTCAGTTCCTCCAGAATACCTTAAATAGTTCAAGTCTTTCTGATTTGTACTTTTACTTGTCATTCTAGAAGCTCCACAATACTAATTGCACAGTTCTTTGTTTGATTTGTATAATCAAAGATGTAATACCTGGAAACAATAAAGGACTTTGAGTCAGAAGTGAATTCTACTTCTAACTCTGTCGTGTCTACTAGTATAATCTTGGGCAAATCATGTTGACTTGTGTTGAACTCCAGACTTCTGATCTCTGAAATTGATTTATCATTTATTAACAAGTTTTTCTTGTGCAAATACTCTATGCCAAAGCTATCATGATTGGGACACAATGATGAGCAAAATGGATTTTTACCCTGCCTTTGAGGAGCTTAGATTTCAAGTGGAGGATATATATTTAAATAGTCACATAATTATAGCCGCAAACTTTGTTAAGTGCTATGAAAAAAATTAAAGGGATATAAGAACGCTTAAAGCATGGGGCCCTAAATCTAGCCTGGTAGGACCAGGGAAGGTTTTCCCAAGGAAGTGATGTTTGAGGTGAGAACTAAAGGACAAAAGATGTTAACTCTGTGAAGAGAGAATCTGAAGGTAAGGGGTGAAAAACACCCCAGGCACAGGGGAATGTGCTCAGGCCCTGACAGATGGGAGGGGGCACAGCCAAGGTGAAGTTTTTCTGGGAAACCTAACGTTCAAGCACCACAGAGACCAAATAAACACTGTCAAATGCAACTGACAAGAGGAAAAATTGAATTAGGATAGAAAGTCTAAATTTCAAATGAAGCTAACACCTACATAGCAATTGTGTGCCAGGTACTGTTCTAAGTGCCATATATATGTGTTAATAACTCACCACAGACCTATAAGTGGATACTATTATTACACCTGTTTTACAGATGATGAAATGAGAGGCCAGGCGCGGTGGCTCATGCCTGTAATCCCAGCACTTTGGGAGGCCAAGGCGGTGGATCACCTGAGGTCAGGAGTTCGAGACCAGCCTGACCAACATGGTGAACCCCCGTCTCTACTGAAAATACAAAACAGTTAGTCCCAGCTACTCAGGAGGCTGAGACAGGAGAATTGTCTGAACCCAGGAGGCGGCGGAGGTTGCAGTGAGCCGAGGTCACACCACTGAACTCCAGCCTGGGCGACAAATCAGGACTCCATCTCCAAAAATAAAAAGAAGAACAAATGAGACACAGAACCAAAAAGTAACTTGCCCGAGGTCACACAACTACTAAAGTGTGAAATCAGGTCCCGAAACCATGCCGTCAGGCACCAAAGTCTTTGCTGTTAATCTACCATGCTTATGACCTGCTACAGATTGGAGCAGGATTGGAGTAAGAACAGTTTCAAGGGCAAACCTGCAAAATAGTCACAAACTTTGCTGGGCATTTGTTTTGCCTTTATAGGTGCTTGCTTTGGAAAAGGTGTCAGTTAAATAGTTTCATAAGCAAAGAAAAAGACTTTCCTTTTAAAGTGACTTAAGAACAATGAATGTATCTTTTCAATAATGTGAACTCAGTAAATGAGTTTTAAAATTAACATTACTTAACATTATTTGAGCAGGCAGGCAGGAAAGAACATGTTTTACATATAAAAATACACAAGCATACAAACCATTACTTTTGAATTCACTGTAACACTGTCATTTCAATTGTTGCTGGTGTTACTGAAATAAAGACTGCTATACAGTGGACTCCCCTAAACTGGAAGCAGCTTCACAGTCCCAAAAAGTTTTCCTCTAAATGTCAGTATGCTACTACATTAATGCTGACTAGTAAATTATTTAAAGCATATGCAATTCTAGAGTTTCTTTTATTTTTGCCTAAATGGTAAAAAGGAAACAATTTATTTATTGCTAGAATTTATATAATTTTTAAATTTTCATTTAAATATTATAAATTTATCCACAAGCTTTCTGGCAGTGGTGAAATTTTAAGAGTAGGAATAAAATAAACAAGTTGCATCTGTTTACACACCTGTTAAATAAACAATTTTAAAAATCATAAAACTTTCTGTACAACTCTGACCAGAAAAATTGAGCAGAAAAATGTCCTTTTATTCAAGTGTTATGGCTGTTTAGAATCTTTCTGCTTTATTTCTTTAAAACATACATAGTGCATTAATATATTCACTAAATCTATAAAATTTTTATTGCTTCATAAAATTATTTT